TAATCCCTTTATCATTGATTGCTGACTTGTTTCTTAATTGTTTGCTCTCAAATTCGAGAATATTAATTGCTTTTGTTCGAAAATTAAGTGTTATTTACATTAACGGAAAAATTATGTACTCTTTGATTTAATTTTTCTTACATTTGGTGATCTTTAAAGATTCTTTATGTGTTTAGATTAATAATTTATTATGTTGTTGCTCATGAAATAACGCAACATTATAATTAATATTAAAAAAAAATTATTTGCTTATGAAAAGCATGGATTATATTTTTTAATATTTTAGAAGAATATTAAAATATTACTTTTGAAAAAGTAATAGTAAAATATAATATAATCCCGAAGTAGCACATGTTTTGAAAAAACATATTATTTTAAATTAGTGTTTATCTCTAAAAGAAAACACGTAACTTATGCTATGTTAACTACTTGATTAACTATTATGTGATGTTTAATCGTATTTTTTGAAATTAATTATATTTTCTTTTACTTTATCGTGTACTTAATCAAATGACATATATTACAAAATTTGAGATTGCTGCACTTGACATATCTGGATAAATTATCTATCATTGGTACTCAATGTTGATATCCATGATGTTTCAAAAGGTTCGATAGAGATAATAAAAGAGGGAACAAATAATCTCTGCAGGATTGTGCAAAAGCATTCATCTTCGCTTCGTCATCATCTTCACGTGAACTGAAAATTGAATATCTCACTGAGAAAGATCTATAAGTTCTTTGAAAAAATTAACTGAAAATATTTGATCATCAGAGGACTATAGCCTTACCCATAGCCCGCTATGAGTGAATACACATTCGTTTGCAAGATTTCAAACTGTTAGTGAGTACAATTTTGAACTATTTAGAAAATGGTCAAAATTAACTATGAGTGGAGAAAAAATCATCGGTAAAAATATGTTAGAGAAAACCTTTTTCTACTTTTCAAGTTTCGAATGTGTTTTTGCAGTAGCAATATCGTGAGCGTGATTTCAAAAAATTTTAAAAACTTATATCTTGTCTGCTTGTTGCTAAACAAAATAATGAATTGTTGATGAAAAATCATGACTTACGTCAATCTGGTTCTGTACCATTGCATAAAGCAAATATAAAATTTAGATGTGGATGTGGACACGGAGGTGCAAGTGAAATAAACCATAGATGAAATAATCAACAAAGTTATCAACAACAAGATAACAATTTTAATAGGCACAAAGCAAATGAAAGTAGCACATCCAAAAGGAAACACGAAAAAAAGTTACTTTAGATGTGGGATGAAAGGGATTGGGCACGTACCTGTCCTATGACATAATACCTTGTACATCTCTATCAAAAATCAATCATGGGAAAGGGAAAAGTAGAGACATATTTTGCTGATTATGATGGTCCAATCGATGTAACTCTTTTGGATATATCCAATTTCTTTGTTGATCCAAATGAAAATATGAACCATTTAATTGGGGTTGGTGTAATGGAAGATATAGATTAGTTTATTTTCTATGTTTTTAGTATTTTCCTTTATTTTAGAAATTTAGTTTGAAATATGTTTTTACTTTTCACAAAAATAAAAATCAAAATAAAACTTTTATTATGGATCATTAATTTCACATATTGAATTAATTTACATTTTCAAATTTAAATTTAAGTTTTTAAATACATCTTTTTTTGTTGTAGATTCATGATGGATTTACTAAAATACCTGCTTGATTGATAGTAAAACTATACATTCTATTTTTCAAGACAAAAATATTTTTTGGAGTTAACATTAACAGAAAATAATGTTAATATGATATCGAGGACATCGAATAATGCAGAATTTTATATTGACGATGTACTTTACTCTAGATAATTCAGAAGAAATTTGCTTAGTTTTAAAGATATCCGCTACAATTGATATCATATTGACACGATGCAAGAAAATAATGTTGAATATCTTTACATAACTTCTTTGTATTTGGCAAGAAGCAGATAATAGGAAAACCTCATACACTCTTATCTGACATGTATTATGCATTTATAAAAATGGTTGAAAATATTGTCATGAACCAGAAGTTCGTTGACTAAAAAAGTTTTATACTTGGGTATGATCGGCTTGGATATCTAGGAACTATAATAATGCGTCAAATAATAAATAACTCATATGAGCATCCTTTAAAGAACCAGAATATTTTTTTACCTAATGATTATTCATGTGTAATTTGTTCGCAAGGTAAGTTAGTCATTAGAATTTCGACTGAAACTCCAACTTTCTTGGAAAAAATTCACAAAGATATATGTAGCCAATACATATACCATGTAGACCATTTCGTTATTTTATGGTATTAATTGATTCTTCTTATTAGATGGTCACATGTTTGCCCACTTTCTACTAGAAATGTAGCTTTTACTAGACTGCTTGCTCAAATTACCAAATTACAAGTGCAACTTTCTAATTACTCATCAAGACTATTCGTCTTGACAAAACTGATGAATTTAGATCACAAGCGCTCGATGATTATTGTATGTCAATTGTGATTTCTATTGAACATTTGGTTGCACCTATTCATACACGAAATGGTTTAGCGGAGTAGTTTATTAAACGTATAAAACTTATTGCAGGACAATTACTTATGAAAACAAAACTTCCAGTTTCTGTTTGTGATCAAGCCATATTACATGTTGCGTCATTGATTTGTATTAGACCAACTACTTATTATCAATATTTACCTTGGTGACTGATATTTGGTCATGAACCCGATATTTACCACTTACGAATTTTTGGTTATATTATCTAAGTCCCTATTTCATCCCTACAACATACTAAAATGGGTCCCCAATGAAAATTTATACTGTCCAACCGGGTAATGTCACGTGGCAAAGTGTAAACTAAAGTGTACACCATAGTGTACATGTTGCAAGGTTCTTACCGATTGAAATTTGCTGTTTGTACACTGATTTTTGACACGTTGTTTGACACTTGCATTGTTGTCTAGTATCAATTGGATGAGAAAACTGTTTGAAATTTAAACTGTCCAACCGGGTAATGTCACGTGGCAAAGTGTAAACTAAAGTGTACACCATAGGGTAGACGTAGTAAGGTTCTTGCCGATTGAACTTTACTATTTGTACACTGATTTTTGACACGTTGTTTGACACTTGCATTGTTGTCTAGTGTCAATTGGGGTGAGAAACATATTTGAAATTTAAATTGTCCAACCGGGTAATGTCACGTGGCAAAGTGTAACATAAAGTGTACATGTAGCAATGTTCCTATCGATTGAACATTACTATTTGTATACTGATTTTTGACACGTTGTTTGACATTCGCATTGTTGTCAAGTGTCAATTGGATAGGAAAACAGTTTGAAATTTATACTGTCCAATATGGTAATGTCACATGGCAAAGTGTAAACTAAAGTGTACACAATAGTATACATGACACAGGGTTCTTACCGATTGAACTTTACTATTTGTGCACTGATTTTTGATACTTGCATTATTGTCAAGTGTTAATTGGATGGGTCCCCAACGAAAATTTGGGATTTATGCGGATTTTGATTCACCATCTATGATTAGGTATTTTGAACCTTTAACATGTGATTTATTTACCGTACGTTTTGTAGATTGTCATTTTGAAGAATGACTTTCCCAACTTTAGGAGGAGAAAGACTACATCCTGAAAAATAGGTAAAATTTTTTGAAATGAAATAACTCTATCTCATTTTGATTCTTACAGTAATCAATGTGAGCAAAATGTTGAAAAATCATTTAATTGCAAGGTGTTGTAAATCAATTACCCGATATATTTGTTGACACAAGAAAAACAACAAAATCATATGTACTAGTAGAAATTATTTCAGTAAAAATTGATATTCTTGCAGAACAATTTGTTGTAGCAAATGAATTTCAAATATGCCAGAAGCATGGTATACCAATTCGTACAAAAAATTTTGTACTCCGAAAAAAAAGTACAAGAGAAAAACCAACAAAAACATCAAAAGAAGTAATATTACAAAAGATTGATCAATCAAATATTAAAAATATGGTTCCTGAAAAACCACCGGTCTCTAAAAATAATGATATTTCAATAAATTAATGTTATCTCATAAATTATGGAACGAAATAATTTTGTCATAGACAAGATTTTCGCTTTTATTGTGACTCTTGATATTTTGCAAAATAAGGATCCTGAACTACAATCAGTTGAAGATTGTCAAAATAGAAATAATTGACCAAAAAAAAAATAAGCCATATAAGCGGAATTGAATTCCTTAGAGAAACAAAAATTGTTTGGAATTGTAGTTCGAACACCTGAAAATATAATCTCTATAGAATACAAATATGTCTTTGTACGAAAAGAGAAATGAAAATAATGAAATCACAAGATACAAAATTTAACTCGTAGCTCAATGTTTCTCACAAAGACTTGGAATTGATTATGAGAAAATATATTTTTTCGTAATGGACACCATTACTTTTTGATTCTCAACTAGTTTGATCTTATCACAAAAGCTTTATATACACTTTATGAATATAGTAACTGCTTATTTGTAGATTCACTTGATAATGACATATATATGAAAATCCCTAATGGACTTAAAAGTGTCAGGATTAAATGATACATGCCCAAGAACTATAACTGCAAAGATTATTATATGGATTGAAACAATTCGACGCAGTCGGTATGATTTCCTTAGCGAATATTTTTTAAGGAGGGTTATAAAAATAATAATGTCTGCCTATGTGTTTTTATGAAAAGAAATATTGAATTTGCGATTGTAACAGTTTATATTGATGATTTAAATTTAATTAGAACTCTTGAAGAGCTGAACAAAGCTTAAAGTTACAAGCAGTAAAGCAACATGCATAAAATTTATTTCAATTTTTTTTTAATTTTAAAAATATAAACTCTCTAAGCATATTCTAAAACGTTAATAATAGAGTTAATCAACTTGTTGACAATGTTTCTCGACAATATTTGACGTGATAATTTAAAAAAATTATTTTAAAATTTTTTTGAAGTGGAGAAACATGACGATTTTTGCCAATCAACCATCTTTCTACATATATCATGATTGTTAATAATACAAACTAATTAGGCTTAGCCAAATAATCCTTATTAGGAACGGCGCCGCAGTGCGTGTTTTATTATAGTCAAAGATTCCGAACTTTTCCAAAGAAAAAACTACGTAGGATACACAGAATTTGAGCAGCAGCGGAGATTAGTTGTGGAATTAGCAAAGCGATGGGGAATCGAAAGCAGAAGTGGACTTCTGAGGAAGAAGAAGCATTGCGCGCCGGAGTTGCCAAGCACGGTGCCGGAAAGTGGAAGAACATTCAAAAAGACCCTGAGTTCAATCACCTCCTCTTTTCTCGCTCCAACATTGATCTCAAGGTCACTATAATTATAAAAACAGGCCTATGTATGTATGAAAATTATATTTGTATAAGTAACTCTATGACTTTATGCATATCATTATATTAAATTGCAAAAATTAAAGCGCGCATAAATTAAACTAGTTACTTGTATTTTTTTACTTTTTATTTTATTTATTTTATTTTTTTTGTGATTTTTATCGTTGATAGTTAATTGTTATTGGGCTGCCTGGGTTGATCCTGGGCTACAAACACTCGAATTATTCTGACAATTGAAAATTCAAAATTTCCGAAGTGTAACATATGTAGTTTCAGTTGAGATATGCAATATTGAATCAAGTTTCAGAAAGCATAATGTTCATGGTTTTCAGAGAGTATCATCTGAGTATCTATTGTTTTAATTGCAAATACAAATTTTGTCTGCGGCTTGCAACGCATTTGCTGTTATATCGTATGTAAGATAAGTTGATGACCATTTTCCACATTGTGTTCATACGGTGAATTTAAAATTGACAGACTTTTGGTCTTTAGCAGCCTGAATCACTGACCAAGCCAATAAAAGATCGAAAAAAATAATACAAGGCTCACTATGGTGCTGTTTTGCTTTAACAGGATAAATGGCGGAATTTAAGTGTTGCCAACGGCCTAGGGTCAAGAGATAAATCAAAAACACCCAAGGCAAAGGCCAGTGCTGCTGATACTCCAACTATTCTGTTGCCCAATCCAAATACCCCGATTTCTATTACTCCAGAGTCACAGAATACATCAGCAGATGTAGTTATGGAAGATTCTTTGAGGCCCTTACCTGAAGGGAATAATGCGTCAAGGTAAATAATTTTTCCTTTGCTGCTAGGTATTGTACCATTACATTTTTCATCTTACTAGTCAGTGTTATCTTTCTGCGGTGATCTTTTATATGAGGATTTCAGGAATGTGATAATTTGCTCAATCTCGAAACAACAATCTAAATGAAAAGCTTAACAGAAGTGAAAAAAAATAATTTTTTTGCTCTTTCTCTGGATCAATAAATTGTTATTCTGCAAACCTTGGGAAGAGGCAGAAATTTTATTTCAGAGATGTTGGAATCTGGTTGTATGCACCTCCAAATAACGATATGGGATGCTGGAACGGGAAAAACTATGATTGGATTGCTATTGATATGCAACTAGACGTCGAAACTTTGTATGCTCGAATTAAACACATTGGAGTTTTTGTGCCTTACCCTTGAAGTGTGCTTTAACAAAATTCTTGATTTACAATGCAATTGAAAGCCCCAAACTTTCTTCAATGTCCTTCAAGAACAAACTGTACTAGTGTGTGGGTGCTATATCAAAACCACAATACACATGATTTTTTTTTTTTTTTTTGAATTGAGATAACAAATATAATTTTTTTCCCAATCTCTCCAATAACATTGATTCCATATTGGGTGGTGCGGGAGGGAGAGAGAGAAAGAGAGACAATGAAAAGCATTTTTTTCCCCTTAATTTCAAATTTCGTATGTGCATTCTGGTTTTAATTTAGTGCCGATATGCTAGTGCAATTAGTTCTTGGAAGGATATTGAAGGTTTGACGCTTTCGATTGGGGTGGAGATCAAGGATTTTGTTAAAACACGTTTCGAGGGTAATGCACTGAAACCAAATGTTTTTAAATTTGATTAGATACGTTATTTGGAATTTTAGCTGCATGTCAATGGCAATCAGATCCTAGTTTTTTTTTCTGATTCCAGCATCCCATATATTCATGTGGAGTTGCAAAGAACTGGATTCCAACAAGAAAGTCATGATGAAAATAGAACAGATCAAATGATTGTCCATTATCGAATCTTCATAATAGATTGTGAAATTCTTGTATATGTCTTGTTCTGTTCTGTGGTCATTGATTCCACTGATGTATAATAGTTTCTTAATATTGGAGATTTGGAGTAAGCAAGTATTCAGATACCGTGAGTGAGTGCTCTGTGACATATAACGAGTGCATGATTTGATTGCATTTATTGAATTTTAGCGGTCTAACTGGGAAGAATAATTTGGTATTCTGATTCTAGAACTCCTGTCTTTGATCAAAATAAAGAAGTCCCTGTTGAAGCATTTGCCCATACATCTACTATACTTCTCTCAGTGTTTCCATCTACCTTAGGCCATAGCTACATAGTTGTCATTGCCTTTGCTGGTGATGGTGGCAATGCCATGTGAATTGACTATGGTCTGCCATGAGTAAGTGAAAGTGTGTGCTCAGGTTTCCTTTTGAATGGAATCTTTTGCAGCTTCATGGTCAAGATATGAAAGCCTTTGACAAATGACATGATTAAATATGGTGGACAGTGACTTAAATCTTTGATGGCAATGACGGTTTTATTATCATTGTTTACATACACAACAGAACTGTATTTTATGCGTACCTACAATGCATGTGCTTTTTCTAATTTCCCTGGTAAGCCAAGAGGAACAATAAAATTTGGAGGCAAAAATTCTGCCTCCAATCGACAAGTTCTAAATATGGTGCCAGATTGGTTCAGCTAATTCATGACATTTGTACCATGTATTTTTACCTATACATTGGGTTACTATTTTATCAGCAGTTTTCAATCACTGTGGTTTCACGGCACGGAGATACATATGAAATAAGAAAGTCAAATTCAATTATTAAATCATAAGTTAAATACTTAAGGGAACTACCTTATTTCCGGATATTATGTGATTGAAACAGATCACAAGAGAGTAGACTGAGCATTTGATTTTAAAAGGCCTAGATCGGTGGTTGGTAGGGAAGCGCCTGAAAAAAAAGAGGTGGGGCCTCTATATTCTTTTTGTCTTATTTGAAGGATGGGGTAAGGGGACTGGAGATCAGGTATGTGGATGTGTTGGCTTCTGAGTTAGGGGGTGGACTCTGTGAACTTGGTGGCAGAAGAAGTCAAGATGTATGTTGGTGGTTGAGGTGGTTGTGATAGCAGGAGTGGGTGGACTGTTTTGATGGTTATGCGGGTTGAATAGCTGTAGCAGTTGTGGTTATGTGGTAGTGGTGATACAGGATTGCAGTATGGTGTCTATTAAGTAGCTTAGGCGAAGGTGGGGTGACTAGGGTATGGTTGGATGAGGTTGAGCACTGTTGTCTGTCAAAGGCATGTGGACAAAAATGATTGTCTCCAAACTTGGTGGTTCCATTCTATTTCTTTTGGTCAGTACAGCTAAAAATCATCTCTTGTCAAACCGGTGAAAGGAAAGGAGGAAAGAAAGAGAAGATAAAAAACCTGAAATTCTTGACAATTTCTAAAGTCGTCTGCATGATTTTGTCCTCGTTTTTGTATTTTCTTCAATAATTGCAATTAAATTTAATTGTCTCTTTTATCTCCTCTGATGAATGGCATCGCTGTTTTGTTTTTCAGGTACAATGCGATGATATATGAAGCACTTTTGACCCTTAAAGAGCCAAATGGATCAGATTCTAGTACAATTGCTAATTTTATTGAGGTCTGGTAAAATGATATACCATCATTAGTTAATTTATACATTTTTAATGATAAGTCACATTGGTGGGGAGAAGGGGAAATAATTTTGTTTTAGGAGTGAACTCTTTCAGGGACCTAGTGTTTAAGTGGGCATCAAAGTTGTGTCCTTTACTTGTGCAGTGTAACTACCACTATCTTCATCTTTCCGAAATTAACAGATATCACTCGTGCTGAATTTAAAGCATTCTATGTCACAATATTGTAATAAAAAAATTCCATGTGACAATATTACAATTAAATAAATCTAGAAGATGTAAGACACATATACCATCTTGCTTATGCCTCTGACATGTCCTTGTTATGATCCAGGTTTTGACAAATACTTTTGTTCGCACTCTTGATTTTGACTGTGTGTGTTTTATTGGCATTACAAAGTGATCCAATTATTTTTCCATTTTCTTTAGTCTATGTATGAATTCTTTTCCTTTTCTCTCTCTTTCTGGAACCATGTGTTGGCACTAACATTCACATGATGGGCATGACCCGAGAACAACTATTTATTTATTTATTTTTTTTAATAGAAATTTCTCCAACATTTTATTTGATACTTATTTTTTTCTTCGCGGGGGTTTTATAAAAATGCTCATTTCTTTGTTTGGTCTCCCTTGTGATGCTAATTGACAGCCTAACATGCCTCCTCTTTATAAATTTGTTTCAAGTGCAATATTGGTCTTTCATTAAGGGAGACCTTATATTTGAAATATCGAATTTATATATTTTCTTTTCAATTTCAAGTCCTTCTATTTGTGTAACACCTTATCTGCTGGTTGTGGTAGAACCATGCATTGGGAAGATGTGGTTTTAAGAGAAATTGCTGATTAGAGTAATAGTTAATAATTTGAAAATAAATATGGCATATACTGTCGGAAATTTGATTCCTCTGCACTTTTGCAAACTGGAAGATTCTGAAGCTTATTTGTGATCAAACAGCGTCAGTCTTTTGGTTGAAGTTATTTTTCTTTTATACAGTAGATATAGTGAGTAAATTGTTGTTTGATTTTTTAGCATCCCGTGTTATAACAATGTCTCATGGTCATCTTATTTTTCTTGAATTGAAGGAAAGATTTCTTATTCAGTTTTTGGTGATATTTTATGCAGCAAAGAAATGAGTTGCCCCAAAATTTCAAAAGGCTATTGAGTTGTAGATTAAGAAGGCTTGTGCAACAGGACAAACTTGAAAAGGTGAATTTTGTATCTTAGCAATTAGCAATAGTTATTTTATTATACTCTCAGTGCTAGTTTGCAGATTTTATGTTACAATGTGGTACTCTGATTTTGATGGTAATTAAATTCAATATTTGAAGAACATAGAGAACTGAATTGAAGAAGAACAGAAATTTCACGGAAGTAAATGAAATGAATTACACATTCCAAGGCATTTGAGAGGCCTGGACTCTCCCAACAATTCTCCAATTACTCAATGCCCGAAATGAACTCTCTGCCCCCTATTTATCATGAGTTGGTGCCAAACTTTCCCATATGAATTTGCTTGAATATCCATATATGCCGTTTTGCTTGATCGGTCCATTTTGCCTTTTGGATTCCTATCATTATCCAATGTCCAAAAATTCACCTTGTCCTCAAGTTGCAATTCTGGTTCGCCAACGTCAATATCCACCTTTTGACGGTGTGCAAGTGCCTCCATTTTCATTTTATGCCACATAAGGCTCAACTAGGCCTTCAAGAAGAACTGGTACTTTTTTGTAGACAATAAATCCATAATAGGACCTGAAAACAGGGGATCTGTGCATGATTTATTAGTTAGATCAAAACCAATTTCATGAAGCAATGAACTGATTTCGAGCTTATCCAACATTTGAAGAATGACTATCATGCAACTGTAATGACGTTTTGGCCGGATGCAGTATGTGCTCTACTGGTCTGTCATAATCAAATCTACGCAATAGATGTGTAAGATTAGGGGCTGACCTACTGATGTTTGAATGAGCTGTTGCATTATTAGAGCACCATGATATTTGTTGCTCTCCTCAATAATTTGACTCTCTTCGTATGCTAGCACTAAGCTGTTCGTGAGTTTGGGTTGTGGCTGCTCCATCCCCGTCTTTTTCTCCTGCTAAACCTGATTCTTCCACATTATCACTGACCTCCTAGACTGGAAGCTCTTTTCCCTACAATGATGGTTTACAAAATTCTTTCCTTTGCATCGGCAGCAATACCCCTCCTCATGCTTGAGCAGGAATTCCCAATTGGTGAGGGGTTTGCAGGTTGAAGAGTTATGTGGATCGGGTGGTTTCGGATTGATTGGAGTGGGTATATGGATTGAAGGAGCTGATTATGACTATAGTCATCTCCATTGAATTCAAGACAGTTGATTTAACCAATCTCTTTTTTCACAACCAAATTCTGCGATTCCTTGTTCTGTCCAATCAAAGATTTTTCATCTCACAGGATAGAAAGTCCCTTTTCTATTATCAATTGAACTCTACCTCATTTAATTGTTTTGAGGGAATTTTGTCGTTTGGGAGTTGAGATGGGTTTGAGAGATGAATTACCGACTGATTTGGGAATCGAAGTTAGTGGATTCTAGTTATTAGAATTATTGTGGACTTTCAACTCTAATGGTCTGGGATTATCTGGGCATGCTTAAGAGAAGTATTGATGTCCTCCCTTATTCAGGCTAGTCCATTGGGCTGTAACTCGACAACCTCAGCTCTAGTTTCTGGTTGTAGCCCATGAATAAAATTCCCTTCCAAAATGTTCTCTGATGACTCCCTCTTATCTGACGCTGTAAGTATCTTCAATGGCATTACACTTCTTTCCCATGGTTGGGGATACTCCTCCTTCCTCTGTTCTTGATTCTTACATTTATCCATCATAAATTTCATTTTCTCCATAATCAAAGACATTTTCATCTCCAACACATCTTGTACCTTGTGAAATTTAGATATCACTGCTTTTAACAATGATTGCAATTTAATTTTGATTACCTCCTTCCTTTCTTCAATCTAGTCCAATTGATCTTCTAATTCTTTTACGTAATTTCCAGAATGGTTGCTTTGATACCATTTTGGTAGACCCCTCTGATTTTGGCAGTAATTGAATTCAATAATTGAAGAACATAAACTGTATTTTTGTATTTTGTATATATGAGTACTGAATTGTAGTAGTAAGAACATGAATTATACGAATACGAATATGAATGAAATGAATCTCCTCTAACCCTGATTGCAATTCAATTTTGATTACCTCCATCCTTTCTTCAACCTTGTCCAATTGACCTCCTAATTCTTTTTCCTCATGACCTGATTCCCAATGGTTGCTCTGATACCATTTTGGTAGAACCCTCTGATTTTGTTGGTAATAGAACTCAATAATTGAAGAACATAAACTGTGTTTTGTATATAAGAGGTACTGAATTGAAGAAAGAAATTATAAGGAAAATGAATTACAGATTCCAAGGCAATCGAGAGGCCTCAACTCTCCCAACAATTCTACAATTACTTGATGCCTCAAATGAACTTGCAACCCCCTATTTATTGTGATTTGTTGCCAAAGTTCTCAACATGAATTTGCTTGAATATTCATTTACGCCCTTTTTCTTGATCTGTCCATTTTGCCCTTGGGGTCATATCACAGTGCAGTTCATCTTTGCTGGCAGATCAACTTTAATTAGTTCCTGTTCAGTGTTCTGAAGTGTACAACTTGTTTCCAGTTTATTGCTGTGATATTTTCATGAAAAAGGTCTTTTAGATGAATCTGTGCCTTGAATCATTACCATTCAGTAGTTGACAGTTCTCTGCTGTTTCTGACAATAAAATTTCCAATAATTAAAAATGTAAGGCCCTGTTAAGATCTTCATCCGAGTTAAGTGATACCTCCCAACAAGTTTGATTTGTAGACGGTAACAGTTTTGGATTATAACAATTGAGTCTATGGTAAGTGGTTGTTTGAAGTAATACAAAGAATTAATGGAAGTCAGCCTTATGTATCTTCTATTTACAGAAAGGATCTTCTATAACCTTGCGGTCACCTTTTGTTCCTTTTTTCTACTGTGCTGATGCTTTAGATGATAACCAATGGCTGTGCAACTCCTGGACAATCTGCTTGTGATGACTGAAAATTTAATCATCTCTATAGGTGACCTTCCTGAAATAAGTAGGTTGAGCTTCTTTTAATTTCTCCTTTTGTCCTCAAGTGTTTCTTTTCTTAAATGTCGACTTTTGTGCTCGAATTGCCCAGTTTTCCATGTCAGTTAGAAGATGCCCCCTAATGGTTTTGGCTGTACTTGAGCTTCTCAGGTGCCTTTGAGATTCAAAAATTTACAGTACTTTTGTTGTCTCAAGTTGGGAGTTGCACGAACCATTGATCTTTAAAATTTAAGATTTGGAAAGAAATATTTTCTCATTCTAATCTTTATTTTAAAATTTGAAAAACAGGTACAAAATTGCTTCAGAATCAAAACAGATGTCGTGCTTGACATGAAAACCCCTACTACAAAGCAGAACTCACTACCAAGACAGGCACAGAGCATTGGATATCTCGGGGATACAGTTGAAGATGCAGCAGTTTCTGCTGCCTATAGAATTGCAGAAGCAGAAAACAAATCTTTCGTGGCAGCCGAAGCTGTCAAGGAGGCGGAGAGGGTCTCGAGGATGGCTGAAGAGATGGACTCACTGCTTCAGTTTGCAGCTGACATTTTCGATCAAAGTAATTCTCCTTGCTTTTCTTTTTCCTGATGTACAACCATGAGCATGCTTGGCTAATCTTAAAAAAAGTAACTTACCTTTTCAAGTAACTAAAAATATTTATTTCAAGGTTTTCTAACTTACTTTAAGTAAACGCTTAAAGCTCATGCAAACATGCTCATAATATTTTATTCTCATGAACATTATTTTTATAGTGTCTTTTTTTCTTTATTTCGACAGGTTCAGGTGGTGAAATCTTGCTAATAGCATAGGATCCAGGCCTGCATCGTATGAAAGACATGGATTCCTTCAAAGCTTTGTAAATCAAATATGCGTGCTTGTTATATTCTTCGCAGTTAATGTAATTCTAATAGAGTTTTACCGTAATATTTCACTTTATTTAAGGTCAGCATGACAACCTTGTAAGGTTTCTATGTGGTGGAAGATTCTTTAGTTGTTTCGGAGTTCTTTTGGCTTTATCAATTCTTCTTGTGTAGCCATGGTGTTATTCATGGGTTCTTGAACCCAAATTCAGTTGTTCTAGGAGCAATTTTGTACTGGGTTGAGCTTGAAAGGCACAAAAAATGAAGCAATTTATATTGGTCAATTAGGAGTATCATCAGCTCAATTTAAAACTAAAACTATTTAATGGATCACGTTTAGTTTATTAACAATTCTAGATAAATTCTAATTCCCAACAACGGTCTCTTCTTTTAAATGTAGGAGACTCCCGGCTCAAAAAGTGGTCAATTATTAATTTATTCATTAAATTTTTTTTTTTTGGCATTATCATAAAATTATAAAAGTTGAGAACTTTTAGTACGTTTGGACATCATCTTTTGCTTTTCTTGGACAAATTTTTAATACACGTCTGTTATTTATGTGCTAAAACGATGAATTTTGAACATTGAGTGAGACAATTTATTAGGAGAATAGATTTTTAGTAGTATTATTTGGAGAATGTGTGGTTGGATAGTAGAGAAGTTTTAGATTTGCGTATAAAATTATTTTATTTGAAAAATGTGGTTGAAAATAAATTTGAAAAAAAAAATTAAATTTTTAAAGAACGAGGCTCAAAGAGGGACTGAGTTTTTGGTATATGTAGAATGATATGTGACTTGTTTTTACTTGGATCATTTATGAATTCTATAATTTTCTCTAAGAGGCATCACAATGTCCTATTATAAATGGGAGGCTGGAACCGTTTGCATGGGAGCATGTCCGAACGGTTTTGGAGAGTCGGACGATAAGAGGAGATAACTTGATTCCACGAGAAAAGAATTGATCGAATTTGATATGCTTGAAGCGGAGATAAAAGGCGATTTGCTTTCCGAGCAATGAATGCTTTCATTATGCATGTATATGTAGTGACGCTCTAGGCTTCGAGTCTGCTATGTTAATGATTTCTAAAATTTCTTGTGTGTGTGTGTGTTTTTTTTTTTTTTTTACCCGCCTTAGAAAAGCAAACAACAATGAGAAAAGAGCTCAATGCTTATATTGTAGACAGTGTCTGGTTTACATGGATTTTGTACGTCTCTTAAACGGGTCAGGAGTTTATAGAAATTGAGAATATATCTATGTCAGATACATTATACATTCACTCAACATGGTCAAACCAATTTCACCCCATCGACTCTTTGCCTTTTGCCTTTTCATTTTCTTTCTATTTTTGACTTACAGAATAACAATTACCAATTGACTTGTTTCTAGATTCACACCATCAACAGTAATCAATACTTGTGATGCCGGCAAGAGTATGGAGATGCCTCAATCTCACTATTAGCAGACAGAAACTGTATTGGAATATGCAGGTTCAAAATTAAGCAATTTCACGGGCGTGCTGGGAGAAGAAATAGGCCAGATGCTGCTATATACTTACCTAAGCCTTTAAATAAAGTAGGAATTTTTATGATTAATTATGGCCTTATCTCGTGCATATATTATTTGTTAGGTAAAATTCAATGAATTGAGTTATAATTGAAAGCAAGGAAAGAAAATTGGTGGAAAAGGATAATTTCTAAAGTTTGGGCGACCAAATTGTAAATATTCAGTAGTTGATTCGGACTATAACATGATGGTTGAAGATCATACGAGATCGATTCGATGAGATTAGAAGCCAAATGATGAAAATTACATGTGAAAAGGACTCAAATTGAACAAAGAATGAAATCTGGATACCAAAATGGATAATCGCAGAAGATTTTTACTCCATGCAATTCCTTGCAAGAGCAAGGCTCACTTTTTCCAAACTCAAGGCCGAATAACTTTGCCCATTGCAAGAGCAACAATACTAGTTTCGGCAGAATGTGATAGTTTTCTTTTATTATTGAAACTCTTGTCAAAACCAATTTTTCCATAAATTTGACCTAATTTTCGATCAGTATAAGTATAGAACAAGGGCTAACATTCAAGAGATATCTTTCAAGAACGACTGGCCAATACATCAAAAGTTGGAAATGAGAACAAATCTAGCAAAGAATCCAAATGAAAAAAAGTCAAGAATTTGAAGAATTAAATCTTGGAAGTGAAGATCAAGATCAAGAAATAGATTTCACATCTCCTTCTTGTATTTATTAATTAGAGTTGAACGTACATTGCACATTATTCTGAAAAAATTAATAAGTGCTGTAAAAGTATTTGATACCAATTTGTTGGGAGGATTTGATAAGTTTCAAGTGAACCAAATAAAAAAAAAATTAGGATACAAATTTAAGAGAAGAAAATTATAATCTCCAATCTCAACTTCTATGATTCAAATTTTTTGTGATGATGAAATACTACAAATGAACAACTTTTTATACTACATTTGGTACATAAGAATTAATTGCTAATACATGAATTTAAATATATATTCATTAAAATTTCTAGATACATGAACTCTAGATTTATGTAGATCAAGATTCATCAAGTCAAAATTTGTTGAGTCTAGATTAATGTGAATGTTGATTAACTAGAATTAATAACACGCAATTCATATATGATAAGGATTTTTAAATATTGATTACATATTCAAAAAATGAAAAGTAAGGTACTATCGAAATAATTGAATAAGTAGGTTAAAATCGTTCAAAAAATGATTATCACTTGATGTGATATTTAATATCTTATAGATAAATTTCAGGTAATGATTTTTCAATTTCTTTGTTGTTTTATTTCTAGAAACATGCTAGGCTATGTTTTATTTATTTATATTGGGATGAAGATGAACCCTATTATCATTTATTTTTAATTCAAAGATCCCATAATTTAGTTAATTTATGTTCATGATTGATCTTGTATGATTTGTTGAATTATTTAATTGTTCGATCACCAATTAGGCAATTAGTTGTTTGTCGTAGTGCTGAGAGATTTATAATATGTTCAGAATTTTGTAAGTTTAACACGTGCAATAGATGTTGGGAATAACATGTATGACATGTAGAATCATATAGATAATCATGTAATTGAATACGTTACATTCCGTATGATTTGGAATAAGAATATGATCGGATTGTGTTTAGAATATTTTTAAGTTATCTCGAGGGAGATAATGAAATAAAATTGGATTATCGATTGTCATGAATACGAATCATATAAAATTATATGGGCTAAGAATTGGAAATAAAATAATAATAGGTGGATTCGAAATTCCAACTCAATATATCTCATATTTTAGTTTAAAATTTAAATGTAATAAGCACAAATCTCTTTTGTTAGTTACACTCGAATTTGATAACGAGTTGATTTAATTCAATTTAAAGTTTTTTTCTTCGTGCAACGATATTCTTTCTTATCACATTATTATTTGTCAAAGATCCTATACGCTTGTAGATTTCGTACGAACAACTGGCTAACACAAAATTTAGTATTAACTCTATCAATGGAAGCTGTAGCAATGGAAATGACAATGAAATTAATGTCGATGAAAATGGAATTGGCAACGGCAATGAAGACAATAACAAGGAAGATAAATCACAAGATACATTTGTAGTCCTTCCCGAGGAAGTAGGCCAAGATGAACTGCTTCATAACATTCCAACCGATCAGGTAAACTAAAAAGATTGTTATTATCTACTAATCTATCATTAATTTCACTTGAAAATGGGGAGAAAAATAATATCGATTTTTTTTTTTTTTTTTTTTTGCAAAATAGAGTTGAGTTACTAGTTACCTGTAAGTTCAAACGATAAAAACCATACATTTTCTTTGTTTTTGTCTTCGAGAGGATATTATGGGAGACTGCTTCGAAACCTCGAAGACTCAAAAGACCGGCTTATGCGAATGGGAAGACTTTCCTTGGGATTAGAATTTTAATGATAATTAACTTTATTGAGGATACTAAATATATGGAGCTTGGTTTGCAATGTTGCCCTCTCTGCTCGTTTAAACTTTGCTCTGATTTGAAACCTAACTAGCAAATAATTGCAAGAGCCGTGCTACAATGCCCGCATAGATGACCACGAGGTTGACACAACACACACACATGAGGGGTGGGATTATTTTATTTATGGGGGACCCACATCGGGCATGTGAGGGCGCGGTCGCCCTCGAGGTCATCCTTGTGGGTCGTTTGGCTTTTTCCTATACAAACTCTTCATAAATATGGATTCTATGTATCGACAATTGTGATGAAAGTTTTTATCTATTCTTTGTCAGAAATGGTGGAAGTTGGGTTGAATTAATATCATTTTAAAAATTAAACCCGAAATAGTTTTCCATTAAATATGAAATAATCTTTTATATCTCAGAAAAAAAAAAACATATTTTGTATTTTTTCCATTTTAGAACGAATGAACCCTAGACCAATAGCACAAAGATTGCACATGTTTTGCACATAAATACTTTTTCAAAACACAAGAACTCTAGAATAATGGCACAAAAGAAGCACATAATACTTTTATCTACTTGCACAAAAGGTTGCACGTGTTTTGCACGTAAATACTTTTTGAAAACGTAAGAATTCTAGAATAATGGCACAAAAGAAGCATATTTAATACTTTTTTTGTTCTCTATTTTTATTTTTTTTTAATTTTTTTTAAGAATACACTTAAACCTTGATTAATAGCAAAAAAGTAGTACCATGAATTGCAAATATACTACTTTTTCATTACGCGCAAACTATAGACCAATAGCACAAATGAAAAATATGCTTTAATGAAATACATTTTTTTGAACACTATTCGGTGAAATATTGCAATGATACGAGATCATTGACAAGTAAGAGTTAGGAGTCAAAGTATCATTTTAGGAGCAATTGATTTGGATTCTAAGTTGAATTGAATTTATTCGATATAAAACACGAATGTACTGGAAACAAGACAAAGTTTTGATGTTTGTGTTTGTTAACTACTAATGTCTATTTCAATTACTATTTAAATGCAAGTGAGAAGAGTGTGTTGAGATTCCAGCTCCACCTATTATTCTCTCGTTCCAATTCTCTAATATTATTTGTGAGTAATTGACAATCTATAATTTAATTTATTCATCTACCTCTCTCGAGGGTAGCTAAACCTATTC